AAGCATAGGTGTTCTGCGAAGATATGTGCACGTGCAATTTTTTTAGCAAATGCAAAGCCTAATGTACGAGCCTCCTATCCAACCTTTCAATAGTAAAATGTGTGAAAACGGGGAAATTAAATCAAACCGTGCAGTTTCCTATAAGTTATCTCAAATCTGATCTTAGCTGGGCTTTGTGAGGAAAACAAACAAGGCTTAAGCTGTGTGTTCATGTGAATAATATATTAGGAACTATATTTTATTGTGCTGTATGCGCCGCAATGTTTCTTTTTCAGTGGCGCATTACGCTTATTGGAAAATCCAGATGAATCCATCCTTAGTTGCTCCTGAACAAAGGTCGGAACTTTTTTATGTGAGTTTGCTATATCGTGTCAAATTATTCCAAACAATTTTGTGTCAGTTCGTTCCCATCATTGATTTGACATGTACGTGCGATCTCGTATTTATGGGGTTGTACTGTCTCTTCACAGAATGACCGCCTGTCATAGTAAAAAAAAACCAAAACTTTTTGATAAGGACTATCAAGAATGGAGTTTGCTTTGAATTCTAAGAATAGTGTTCTTGTCTCCTGATATAGTTTGGAGTTATCGTTACCTGCACTAGAAAAAAAGAAATAGTAAGGAATTTTGTGTTGCTTAGATGTCTTTTTCTTTTGAATACATTCTCTACGGCTATCATTGTAATAGTATAGACTCATCATTAAATTAACAAAATTTTCAGTAAGCCTAATTTTTTGTTTAGTAAAATTAGGGTAAATCAAGAATTAATTTTCTTTTTGCTTTGGTAAAATATCAGCTGTTACTGTAATTGATTTTGCCATTATCTCAATGATTGATTTCATTTTAGATAAGGTGGCTAAAGGAAAAGTACCCAGCACTCCGCAAATATGGTGTACAGGAGTACAGACCCGAACCTCCAGCTCCAGCTGCCGAAAAGTGAAACATGCTCTCAAAGTACACAATTTTCATAGTTTGACCGGTAGGAAATCTAGACAATGAAACCGGTGAAATTATAACAAATACTGGTAGAATCTTTCGTAGTCTTCGATTGCTGGTATCTTATATACTGATAGTTGCCGTTCTTCACGTTGCATATAATCCTCTCCATGTCTGCCATTTAGATGTAGCACCGATATCTAAATTTTGTAATTTGTTGATTAAACCTTCTTATGTTGTTTTTTGCATCGATGCATTCACTTTCGGTGGTGTTCCTTCAATATAGCGCTACACATCAATTTGTCGAGTTGGTTTTTTGTTGGAAAGAAATTTTCAAGATGACTACAATACGACCTTTTGACGTTATGGATATGCTAAAGTTCAACAACGTAAATTTGGACAGTATGACGGAAACGGTACGGTGATATGTTATCCGATTAGGTATTAGAATATGTATAATGTGACGAAAACTATATGAGCCAATTGGTTTCCTATTGTGCACTGGTTGCAAAGAAAAGTAGAAGCCAATTCAATAGTTGCAACTATGTTACGGGCGCTAAGGGGAATTTGTTACGTCATGCGTGCCTCTTTGATTTGAGGTGCAGGGTGCATTTGCAGCTTAATTGGAGGTAGCTCTTTTCTTTATTTTTCTTTATCTGTAAGTGTTCACATGAGTGCCACTAAAAATGAATCAGGAACAAAGGAATTTTTATGTGAGGTTGAGCTCACTCTCTCCCTCCCTCCCTCCCCCTCCCCCCTTCTCTCCTTCTAGGGCTTGAGAAAATGGCTAGCAACACAGTTTTGAGATCTACATAGTCATCCAATGAGATCATAATCCGTTGAAGGTATTGATATCATTGAATAGCTACTTGAATGCTTTGTCTCGAGCCATGTGATTTCCAGATCTCGTTAGCATGTTCATACTAGCTTTGCAAATAAGTTATTTGTTTTAGTATGGTTTCAACTTCTATCTCTACTACCTTGTGAACTGGCCTGAATATTACCAAGTAGCAGAGCATCCGAATGGTCAAATTATGGGATACAGTTAGTAGTCGTATATATTCAAAGAAAGCATTTATTGTAACGTTTAAGAGAATTTTCAGTTATGGGAAAAGCTGAAGGTAGAGACGAAAACTGGCATGGACATGTTACAGCCCTTTCAGTGGCACCGGACTATCGTCGCCTAGGACTTGGTGCTCGAATGATGCACACTTTGGAGCATATTTCAGACATGTAGATTAA